AGTACGCATGGATGACCTTCTTTAAGGAGGCTTCTTACGAGTACTGTCTCCAGTAGAGGCCTTGCCGTGGCCAACTATCGGAACCTGGTGTAACCCGATGACCTCGAAATTGCGAACCTGCTGCAGGGCGGTAACGTCTTTGGCAGAGAGAATGGACATCTGAAAGAGGGGGAAGCAAGTACAGGATGGGAGGTATTAGTATACGTGGTGCATGTGGATAGTCGATAAAATGAAAAATCAGGTTGAGCATGGTCGTCCGTCAAAGGTGATTCGAACGAGGAATAATCAGCGAATGAGGATGTGTATATCAGTGAGAAAACTGGTGGTGAAAGATGATTCGGTCTAAGTCATAGTGTTAACATGATAGGGTAAGCACTGATGGTTGGAATTGACGATCGGAGTTAGTAGTCCGAGACGTGGCTTTGATGTCGAGTAAGACGCTATGGCACTCAGTAAGGAAGAAAAATTTCAGAGTTTTCAAGATATACGAGGCATCATGCAGTGACTGCATTGCAGTCTCCATGTGGTGGTTCAGGAGAAACGTAGATGGTATGGTAGAGATTACGACTCATAATTTACAAGTGGTTGCTATCAATGGATTCGAATAGTAGCGACAGTAGTTGTCACTAGCGATGAGCGAGTGGCTATCACTACTGGCAAGATAAGGAAATTTAGTGCGACATTAGGACACGTATGCCCCATCCGAGAGGCACATTATCACCGTGATGGGAAGTTCCTATTAAGAACTCATCACGGCATACGAATCACATGCAGAATAATCCGCATGTGTAACATTAACGGTGGCATACTTGAGGTTCAAGTATGCCAATATTCCGTTAATATTACACATGTACGAAAATACGATCAGTCGGAAATTCAACTATTGCCGAAGTAGGGAAATTGAGGAAAAAATATGACTATTGACTTACTGGTTAAACGGCGATGATAGGTAGTGCAGCACTAGCACTACTAGTGCTAGTGGCGGTAGCCTACCGCCGGTAGGCTGCGGTAGATTAGGTTGTGGCTGAAGGGGTGGTAGTAGTCTGTGGTTGGTTACGACCTCGGTTGAGGAAACCAAACATATATTCCCAAACTGTGCGATATATTTGAATTCTCAAAGTCAAACTTAATTGTAACGAAATCGAATTGTGACACACTTCAATTCGCGAGGTCAAACACACTGCTTGTCTGCTCACTTGTCAAACTTGCACGGAAAAGGTGCGAATGACATTTCGCGAGGAAGCGCCTCCAATGAATATCCCGCAACTGTATCACTTAACCCATCAAGACATCCGCCTCAACACAACAACAAGGGTGCGACACTCCACACATGTCGAAGGGAAACAAAACAGATCAAATGAAATCTAATCTGCCGACCACATTAGAGATTTCCCTTGTGGTTCCAATAAAAATCGAATTCTCCCGCCAGCCTACCCACGATCTCGAGTCGACGCGTATCAGTCGTTGCCGATTCCATCACCGTTTCAATGAAGCCACGATGCTCCGCACTCAAATTCCGACCGTCCACAGGTGGCGGCTCGTAGGAAACAAAACGAGCTAGGGTTACGTTGAGATCGTCCCCGCTGCTATAAATCATTTCCTCGATTTTATCGAGTTTTTCCGGAGTCGCCAAAACTATGCCTAACAGGCTCACAAGCAACCTATTCTGCATCTTACGCGAGTCAACCTAAGATTCCATCCTAACCACCAACGGCCGACCGCAACAGCTATTACAATCTCTTTCTTCTCAAAAACTCGACCATGAATCAACGCTTTCCTCTCTGCTGAATCGATGTCGAATTTCCTGAAGTCCACAAAGGGCAGAGACCGTAGTCGTGCAATCCAACACTGGTCCAAGTCGGCCTTCACCGCCCCAGCGATCAACGTCTTCAGGTACCTGGCCGACGATAGCTCAACCCACAAGACCGACATAAACTTGGAATCATAAAAATTCTAATTTTTTTGTAAATTTTCTGCTCACTGATCAATCACTTTTCACCTCAAATTGAAGTAGTAGAACCTCAATGAAAACCACATGTTAAATAACTTTAATTTCGCATGGATTATTCAATATGAACTTTAGGAAGTTCCAATCCAAAATATCCAATTTCAATTCAAACGAGTCGGAAGTTGCCTTCTGTACTGAAAAACCCCGGGCCCCGTTTTCAATCTAAACCGTAGATCCCCTAAAGTGCAATTTTTCAAGACGAGTCTCTTCCCGAAGTTGCGCGATCAACGTCGATGCTTCTAATTTGGCCGTGTTTTTCACAGAATTTTAGTCCATAAGTCGACTTAAGCACAGCATTCAATCGTCGATAAGTTATAGAGAATTTATATGCTGTTCTAATGAGCAGGTATCACCTCCTCCCAGGAAGACCCTCTATCCCTTGCTCCCTCTGAGGCTGTATATAAAGCATCGCTTCCATCACTTCACCATCGGCCTCATAAAGCTGTACTTTTACCCAACGCCGTTCGTAATGTGGGCTTTCGAAATCGTCCAGGCGCTCCAAACCACTACGCGACAAGTAATTGACAACACCGTGGACCTAACGAAGAGTCGGGTCTAATCCAAAGCACACTGAGAGGATGACCTTTGCCCCAAGAGAGGGACGAACGTTAGCATAACAGCCTTCCTTCACGAAGATCTCCCTCGGTTCCATATCGAAAACCAAGTCGAAATCGACAAGTATCTGAGCACCTTAGCCTTGATTTAAGTCATATACAAAATGAGCTCCGAAACGTTGATCCGAAAGCCCCTCGACTACATGGAGTAAACATTATCGCGTTCATCAGCGTTTTCGAGCTGCGGATGACATCAACTCCTTACACGGTTCACTACAGCATTTCTAGGCAATTAAATATTTTGCCCGACTTCCTTTGTAAAATCGCATTTTCACCGATTTCCCCTATAAACTACTGGAAATTTCTGATTATAATCATGACCAGGCGGGTCCTATCAACGACGTTGAAAGAATACAAGAGATAGATGGATCCCCATATCATGAAAATGCGCGACCCCATTATAATACAACACTAGGGTGGGGACATATGAGCATTCTCAACTAGATGTGTCGGTGACAATATTACAATTTTGAGAAATTTTCGCGAATTTTCTCTGATTCGTATATAAACTCCCATAATTAGTAAGTAAATTCCTGAGCTCAGCTGAGGAATTTAAACATATAAAAAAACACACTCGTCTTACTGCTCGTAGAGGCTCCTTCGATGCAGTCTCCACACCTCTACTCTGGAGGGAATCTTTACTCATGTTGGCCCCAAAGGAGAACATAGGAATCACCACCAGATGGTCGGGGATGGGCTCTCGGTAAGCTACCACGCCCTCACTATCAGTTGTCGTTGCCATGAACAAATCAACAATTAAAACCCCTCAAAAACTACAATTAACGTCCATACAAACCTCTGGAGTATTTCCTGACAAACACAGACAACGAACTCCTCGAGATTAATATACTATAGACATTTCCCCAAGGAGAGTGAACACAACCAAAGCGGTTTATTCGGGGCGCTAGGACCTCCCTTACTTCTCGCAGTGATGCTGAGGACAATGAGGCCTCCACCATCCCTCTGATGGCCGTCTAGGGACTAACAGAGGCAACTCTTCCTTAGATCTCTTGATTGAAGCACTCACTAAACACACATATACGCGGCAAACCATGAACATATTCAATTTTCAAAAACACTCAATGGCAAAATTATCTGCATTGAACTTCACACTTTTTCGGATTATTTCCACAAAAACACGCATCAATAGAGGTGACTTGCAAAAATAAGAGGCAATAAGAACGCTACCATAATAAAACTCTGCTGCTTCGCTCCGCTCCGAATTTCAATACATTCCCGACCTGGACGAGAGCGTTCACCGTTCGGCCTGACCGTGGGTTTCGTCAATGCCAACTCTACTGCTTTTGCTGCATTTACTTTACCAAAATTACCAACGCGATTCCCACCAGGATAGTATACAGTGTCGGAGGACTCCAAGAGCACCTCCTTGATATCAGATGGGCCAACACCCAAGCTGCTGAGTAGAGCAGCGACACCTGCGACATGTGGAGTTGCCATTGACGTACCCGACATGTAAGCATAAACGTTACCAATGTAAGTGCTCGGGATTCCCACGCCAGGCGCAGCAATGTCAACATACCTGCCATAGTTACTTTCACGTGCCAGCCGATCACGAGCGTATATATCAGTAGCTCCAACGCACATGAGTAGCTCAACAGTCTCTGAGTAAGCACATGGGTAAGTCCGCGCAATAGTAATATCTCGACCATCGTTGCCAGCAGCAGCGAACATCAAATGCCCTCGATCGGAAGCTCTTTTCATAGCAGCCTCTAGAGTGCGATATGTACCATCACTCGTATACGAATGAGATGACACCTCCACACGCAAAGTAACGAGATAATTCACAGCTTGTAGAGAATAAAGGAGATCTCCTTTACCCATCTCGTCGAAAGCTCGCAAGGACATGATCTTCACCGGGGCGATGCCAGCCACCCCTTGCGCGTTGTTCGTAGTAGCACCGAGGATCCCAGCGCAGTGCGTGCCATGACCATTCACGTCTCGAGGATCCAAATCTGAATCGAAAAAGTTGTAACCATGCCGGCAATCCGCATCAGAGAAAATGCTATCGACCAGATCGGGATGGTCGTATTCAACACCAGTATCAACGACAGCTACAACCACCTCTCGCCGTGGACGCCCTTCCAGTCGGGTCATCTTCCACGCCTCAGCCACATGCATCTCATCTAGATTCCACTGACTTCCCACTAGCTCATCATCAGCGGAATCGGACACCACCTCATTCGTCACTCCCATGGTCCCAGGTTCGAATCTACCCGACTGCACTATTCCCAACTCTCCGTTTCTCTCACAAATAACCTCATAATCTTCCCCCAGTCCGAGCAGGGATTCGCAAAGCTCATCAACAGTCAATTCACACGCCGCCACTGCCGTGTCGATCCACTGCATGCCAATCGCCAACATGTCCTTCACATCTGTCAAACACTTCTCAAACTTGTCCGATGAGAGCTGCCGAGCACCATCCCCCCTCCCTAGAATGGCAGGAACGTCACGAATGTCAACCCAATCAGTCGGAGGGCCTTCCACCGGCACCGGCCCCTCAATGAGCCTCCTAGATGTAAGCGATGATATCGACACTATCACTCGATCGTCTGCAAGGGAAGACACAGCAAGGACAGCCCAGTAGAAGAACATGGAAAAAACCAACCCCTGCCGACGTATTGGATTGAACGACCGGCGTCCCAAACGAAACACGCAAGTGGAGCCTGCCTTAAAACAGATAGTCACATATAAACGAGTAAACTCATAGTCCCCTCGAGAGTAGAGCTCCTAAGGATGTGTATACGTACAGCAATGCCAAACCTCGCATCACATGAGAGTTAGGAGATACGCCGCGCTCATTCGCGACACCAACCGTTTCCTTAGAGACGAAACCGTATCATTGCGGAGATCCCGAGTTCGATCCCGGCAAGGAACACATAACTGAGCACCATTCCAAGGTGAGCTCGACGAGCCGCCAACACTAGCTTCGTTCCTACTCTTGAAGAGTACTAAACAG